AGTGTAGGCGGATGCCAAACAGACACAATAACGATCAAAACAACATTTAAACATTTCAATATGTAAAATGCGAAAAAATGTTTGATTAATCACTAAAACGAGTTACAACAATCTCAGATTAATAATTTTTTAAAAAGGTTTTTTATGCTGAACCGCTCAGAGTATAGTCAAGTCTTCAGGGTGTTAACGTGATCTTGACGACTAATCAAACATTTTGAACTATTCAAATGGTTGTGATGAAAATTCTTGGTTACAAATAACAAACTAAGCATTATTGTGGAGCGAGAAAAAAATGCAAAAGTTTTGTTTCGCAGTTAAAGGTATTTACTTCAAAGAGTACTTTTATAGTTTATCTATAGAAATAAAAACTTGGTGATATCGTTTATTATGCAAAAAAAGTCAGTTGATAGAATGTGGGTGAAAAGACGAGAGGCGTCCATATTCACGTCCACGCTACTAATCAACTATTTCTGAGTTTCCCTAACCTAAATTGTTCCGTAATTTATTTACATCATTCAGTACCTGAGCCGCATCCGTATACACACTATTCAAATACGTGCACATATTATAGTCCGAAAGATTGCTATTGTTAGCAAGAATATACAGTAAACTCATCCAATCTTAGTCATATATCTTCTAGTCGATTTCGAGCTGTATTTTGCTTTGACAAATCATATTGAAAGAACGTTTTATTTTTATTCGATTTTACGTAACGGATAATGCGAAAATTCTCGAGAAACTGTCGCTTAATCTTTAATCGGTTGCAACAAGTTACAGACAAATTACGAATATCTATTCAACACGTATATAGAAACCAATTTTTAACTAACTGTTCAAAACTATTCAAATATATCTTTTCTTTGAGCAACAAGCACATCTTTAAATAGTAAAACCTTCGACATATTAGAAGACCCACATTGGACAAACGCAGTAAAAGACAGTTTAGAAGACCCCCTGAAAATTGATTTTGTTAATAATTTCTAAAGCTTTTTAAGTTTGTTAGCATTTATTTATATGTTAATATTTATGATTTTTTTAGTGCAGACAATATTTTGCTTCCATGGTCTCAGCAGCATGTCAGCTCTGAGTTGGACAGTTCATGAGAAAAAGCTAATAGGAGAGTAGTTAGTAAAAAAAATGTTTTCTGTATAAAAAAAAACATGTTCTGAGATCACTTTAATGCTCCTTTGCGGCATATTGTGAAGAAAATTGTTAGATTTTCTTTGCGAAAATATTCGTTCCAACGATCACAGGACATAATTAACGTGGCACGCTTCCAAACGTGTCACATATAAAGAGATCTTTCTGAGATAAGAACATCTTCAGTAAAAACTCGTTGTCCATTAGTTAATACTTCGCTTCGTCTGCGCACTTTCTTCTAGAAATTTTGACGTTCTTATCATGCAAGATCTCATTCATAATTGGAAAAAATACATCTCTGAGGACATACAGTGAGACATGTCTTATGAAATTCCTCTCATATGTCTGAGGACGTATCTCTTTTTGCATGAAGATGCCAAGGTGCTTTTCGAAGCAGAAGCAAAAGATTCTAAAATCACTCTCAACGTGTATTCGATCGCTCTTTTCCTGTAAATTGTTTCTTCGTAGACAACCATATTCATTCAAATTAGATAGAAACTAATAACTAAACTGGTGGTACGTTTCATCTTGAATCAATTCTATTTATACGAGCCAATCCTCAACATAAGCAACTAACTGAAATAACTTTGACGTAAAAAGGGTTAATTTTCTTTCTCCCATTGTTTCTATGCTATCATACTTTGCATTAAATGTATTGCTGAGTAAAGTTATGACATAAGAGTTTTATTTTTTATGCAAAGTATGATAGAATAGAAACAAAGAGAGGGAAAGATTTCTGTTCGAGAGTGTAGTTATATAGAACATAAGTGTCACGAGTGATCGATCGCATTTTTTAGAAAAAATAGTCCTATTATAAGTCGCACAAATATTTTAAGATATGTTGTGTATATTGTTTCAAGAACACTCTTCTAGTCAATGATTGTTTTCTCTTTTTTACATTAAAATATTATTCGCTTCTTTTCCATTGATGAATGCGGATAAGTAAAATAAAGTCGTTTACTAACGCTATATGGGACAAAAAAGTGTTGAAAGTAGGATTTTTCGTTGAGATCACCAAAAAAATTGACTTTTTTTAGGGATATAATACAAGATCCCTCTTGTGACTTGTGAATGATAAGACAGAATAGAAGACCAGGGGTCTTCTAATATGTCGAGGGCTTTATATAAAATCAGTCTTAAAAATTACTAACAATGACTGCGACAGATGAAATTGATCTAACAGTATTGAATAACGTTCGCCAGCGCGGTTGAATGTATTCTACTGCTCGAGGTAAGTCAGAAAACGACATTTTGTCACTTAAACTTGAATATATTAGCAAAAAGTACCATTTATTATACCATATCAATGAATTCATTCAATATGAAGTCAAGAAATTAGCGTTTTACCTAGAATATTCGATAGCAATATATCATTGAACAACAAAATTCGTACTATGAGAATTTTAGACGAAAATAAATTATTGAATAGAAAAATGACAACCTCTCAAATACAAAGGTAATCTATATAATTTTATCTTCAATGTATTTTCAACTTTAGCATTATCTATTGAATAAGAGCTTCATTAACTATATTGATACACTTTAAAAATCATATTAGAAGGAGACTTATTCCAATTAACCATTACTATATTATCAAGAAAAGTTGTTGTTGAATTATTGTTCAATTTTTTAATATTACCGAAATTCAATACTAATGTAACATATTGTAGCCATACTCAAGTAAACAATTTGTAGAATGATAGATACACGAGCACGCAATGTCAAAGCATAGGCATAAACAACAATAGAGTCAACATTTTAAAATAGTGAATAAATTGAGAACAATATTTCTTTTGAATCGGTAAATATAGTATCATACAAAGCTGAAAGAAAAACAACGAATACGCATGATTATTTATTCATTGTACATCATTTCGTAGCGTCGAAGTGTCAATAGTTTGAAAAATATTTTTTTTATTTAGCGAACATAATGTTCAGAAAATGATATTCTATTATTGGAAAACTAACTCGAAGAATACTATTTTATTTTATCAATTGTTTTTTTGATGATACATTCACTATCGGTAAACAAACATTTTTTGTGCAAGTATTTTACTATTCAAATTAAGACACATTCCTTACTGTCAGATCAGGATAACAAGAACAAGAGAAATGTTTAAAAACATACGGGTTAGTTTTAACAAAAATCAAGGGAACCTTTTGTTACGATTTCGTCTAACTAAAGAAAAAGACATAATCAACTTGAACTTTTCAACATTGATAGTATCGATTCTATCAGTCTCAACTTTACCCATTGATTTGTGAATGGGTTTAGACTCAATCATGAATAAGTCTTGCGTTCAATGCTTAGATGAGATCACGTATCAGAGTTTCTGTTAGAAATAGGAGTTTTTGCGATAAAAGAGTATTGAAAACCCTACAAAATGAATATACCAAATTTGGTCAAAATAATTGTCTTCTAACAGTTTCTCTAGCATAAGGACTATATCGGTATTTTAAGCTGTTTTCTTGGATTTATTTTCTAATAAAATAGCATTATTTGAGTTTTGATTTATATGGAAGCCTCAAATTTAAAATCAAAAGCCTTGTTTATTCGCTGATACTTGACTTTTCAAAATGTTTTCGAAGATTATTTTTGGGATACTTATGACAGTCCGCATGAATAAAGTGATATTTTATTTGAGTATTCAGTCGAATAGATTTTAAACTTTTTCATAGTCAACTTCTCCTCTTATGAAAGATTTTGTTAATAGTGTTATACAGAATAAGTGCTAAGAAAAGTATTGCTTAATATTTTTATTGCAACATTTAAAGGATAATATCTTCATTCATCTAAAAATCATCCTGACAAAAGAATGTAGCATTCGAAATTCTCAACATTTAAGGAAAGAAACAGATGATGCCAATGCTTCTTTTTCGAGTTTCATTTCTCAAAAAAAAGTCAATATGCTTATTATTGATTATCTCATATAATAGTAATCTGATTTTGTTTAAAAAAACAATTCTAGACGCGCAATCTATAAGAGATTAAAGGATGAAGCATCATGAAACCACTACAATAGGAAGCAAAATAATATAATACGATCCGTTCTTTCTCATCCTAACCACTGTAAATAGGCTCCTCTCACTATTTAACCTATCTGATTGCACGATTTCTAGACGGTTCGAAACCTGATATGGGCGGATTGATAAGGGTCGATATGAAGCCAGCTATGCACGTGAGAATATAGTTTTTCGTTTTATTTGTTTCACAGGAAAATCAAAACAATAATTGCAACTGATATTTAGTGAAAACTTATTGATAGAAAAGTGACACACACTTATAATATTTCGTAATGTTTTTTTTTCAAAAATAATATTCTTACCGTATAGAAAAGAAAAGAAAAATATTTGTTGATAGAAGAAGAAAGGAAAAAAAAAGGTTGTCAAAGGAGTTGACGTCCTACGTTATCAACTTACATCTTTTGCAGCAACCTTTATAAAATTTCTACTTGAGTCAAACATTTATTACGGGATCTACAGCCATATGTGCATAAGTGTTATTTGCGTTTTGTGATTGATGAGCAAAAACTGATAGAGGCAGTAAAGCACGCCAACTTATTCTTAAAAGCCAATGTTCCCGAATGTATAGTCATCTCCTGTGTAAATTGTCGACGTTGCACATACTGTCAATAAAGATAACATCGGAAGGAATGTGCGAGTATGGTATGACTTTGTGAAGTAATGATAGTGTAGATCTTCTTCTTTTAACATGCTCCCACGCCCACACTTTCTTTGTGTAACATCCTTAGAGAATCAAATAACATATAAGTACAACAAATGTACTGTAAAAGCAGAAGTAGAAATTATTATTTATTCTAAACACATTTATTTTCTTATCGATTAATCAAATTTTGACATCAAGATAATTGTAAAATCCCATCATAACATTCATATCCATCTTCGGCAATATATTTTTCTCGAAAAACTTGAAAATTATTTTTTTCATAAAACCGAATTCCTTGTTCATTATCGGTTAACACACCAGCCCATGCAAGTATTCGTTTTTTGCCCAATCGTTTAGCTAAATCAATCATCAAATGAAGAAGTTTGGTACCAAGATGCTGATTTTGATATTCATCTATAATACAGGGTGCGAATTGAACATCACTGTCTTGGCTTAGTTCTACACCGTACTTGCGATATCTTTGTATGTCAAATTCTACTAAATGGAAATTGAACTCGTATATTGCGATGATTTTTCCATTCTCAGTAATTGCCACCATTCGTAATATATCATCTCCATCGATTTCATCACAAAATTGTTGTGCACATTGCAAATCATAACTGGGATAAGTGGCAAATCGACGTGTTCTCTCTGATAAACAATCAAAGAATTGTTGCAATGCAGAAATATCATTATGTGATAATGGTCGAAATATAATTTTTTCTGGACCAGTTGCTTTCTCCAAATAAATATTTTGGGTAACCAGGGTTGGATTTTCGGAAATTTGGCATAATGTTAACACATCTGTTTGCATTTGCTATCTTTGAGATTCGTGTCAGTGTAAGTTTTCTCCTAGGCTACACGGTTATGGCAACGTGTCTTCAACTACCTAATTATTTTGTGTGGTATATACCAAAACTTAATTTTTTTTTCTTTCTTTCACATATATTCTCGTGCAGTGACGATAGAAGTAGTGAGGCGACAGTGTGATGGAGACATGTAAATTGTGTAATTACACTTTTCTCCCATAGATATACTGTTATTTATGTCGTATACTGCTGGCATTTAAACCATTTTATCTCTTTTTCTTTTCAAATAGCATGTGCTCTTCATTCTTTTATTCTTTGAGAGCAAACAGAAAGCCTCGATAGCCAGATAGAGCCTCATAAGTTCTGTAATTACATTATGGCGTTACTTTTCAAGGGAGATTGTAGCTTTAGAATTGGTGATAAAGATTAATCCATTTGCAATGAAGTACAAGTCCAAATGCGACTCTCAAATTTTTCTTTCAACAATTGAGATCAATCGTATGAAATTGTGTCAATGTACTTTGTTTTTATTGATCATCATATAAGTAGTTATATTCTAGATGTGTTGCATGATCTTGACTAAGATATCATTCATCATGATTGTACATAAATAAATCGGAGTTTCACATGAGAATTAACTACGCTCAAAAGTAAAAAAAAAATGCTAATTTTCCTTGATTCTACCTGCTTTAATGGAATTACAGTAGCTGATATATGTTGACACTTGTAATGAGAACCCGTTGGAATCAAAAAAGTCAAAGGGATGGCAAAGCAGGGACAATCAAACTTCCAAACTTTTAGTGTCCGAATCCGCATTATGAATAATGTTGCCATGACATAATGAACGATAGATTTCATGATGCGGGTGGCATTGTGGAACAACCATCGATATCAATACAATATTATTTCATCAGTCTCTTTCCGTTCTGTTATGTACCACCCTGATACTAGTCTTGCCAATCTAATTTTCATTTGTCGGAATCCTTGCGAAAGTATTTTTCTCAGCTAGTCACTGTTTCTTGGAAAAAAAGATGGAGAACTTCTTGTTAGAGAGGGTGATGTGTATAGATTGGCACATTGCCATCGGTAATGATGCATACGCAGTGTAAATGTATACATTTTTACGCTTATTTACCTATACACATGCTGATAGGCGTTCACATGTATGCATACATAGGGTGTGAGCGTGGGTAGAATATAATATCGACATCCATACACCCACACTCAAGCAACATTTTATTACTTTACAATCTTTTAATACGACAGAACAAAAGATAACTTTGTTTCTCTTTAGTTTGTCCTTTTCTATTGATGTTGATTTATTTCGATTCTTTTCTAGGCAAACGATAAGAAAAGTATAAGATACTGTTTCATGACTTCTTACGCCTTGAGAACCGATGAATATCAAGTAAACGATGGTTATTCTATTCAACTTGAAATTGATTTAAATAGTCCAATTACATTAAAGCTTTGCCATAATTATATAGTAAAAGGGTCTGTTTCATTTAACAACGATCAATGTTCGTTACTCACACATCGACTCTGTGAAACGACAAATGATCTTTATGAATTATTAACTGATCTGTTGTCAACAACATCATCATCTACTAATTCTAAGATTTATGTTGTAAGCGATAATCATCTCAACGTGTCATTTCCAATATACTTTGGTAGTCGAAATCTAACGAAAATATGGTCGTTTAAGATTGAATTTTTAAATTTATCGTCATCTAATAATAATAATAGCATGGAAGAGATTACATTAGATCCTCTCGATTGGACCGAAACAAGATTATTAGGACATCAAGTCATGAATGATATGATCAATTATTTGCAAGATCTTCGTCTTCGGCCTACATGGTGTCCTGTACCATTAGCTGTACAGGAATCATTGTCACAACAAGACATTCCATTGAAGGGTCAATCTGCATGGCAAGTCTATGATGAAGTTCGCTCGCTTATTTTACCATATCCATTGGGTAATATTCATCCTCGCTTTTGGGGTTGGGTCATTGGTACAGGTTCGCCTATTGGAGTTTTGGCTGAGTTAATTACCGCAACGATGAATAATCAATCGTGGGGTGGTAATCAAGCAAGTATATATTTAGAACGTCAAGTATTGACATGGCTAAAAATTATCATGGGCTTTCCAAATGACGAGACTTGTTCAGGTGCACTTATGAGTGGTACATCAGTAGCAACGATGGTAGCATTAACTGTTGCCAGAAAAAAATTTCATGATCGTAAGATGAAAATTTACTGTTCAACAGATGCACACAATTGCATTATTCGAGCAGTCGATATTCTTGGTATTGGGAAAGAAAATATAATTATCATTCCAACTAATACACAACGGCAAATTGATTTACAGGTACATCACAAAAAGGAAGATAATGGAAACTAGTCCATAATCTTATACTTTTTCTAATTTAGATCTTGGAAAGATCAATAGATCTAAGTTGTGGTGGAGTTATTGTTGGTAGTGCAGGAACAGTAGGTACTGGTGCTATTGATGATCTTAATGGATTGGCTGATTTATGTGCTCGTCATCCTAATGATCTCTGGTTTCATATAGATGGTGCTATTGGAGCAGTAGCTTGTTGTTCGGCACGTCTTCGACCTCTATTCGTCGGTCTCGAACGAGCTGATTCAATTGCATTCGACCTACATAAATGGCTCTTCGTTCCATACGAATGTGGATGTATTCTAATTCGTGATGGTCAATTACATCGTGCAGCATTAGGCCAATCGGCTTCCTATTTATCATTGATGGATGGCGGTGTTACACCAAGTACTGGTGCCATGTTCTTTAGTGATTATGGATTTGAATTAGCGCGTAGTATGAAATCTCTCAAAGTTTGGATGACATTTAAAACTTATGGTCTCGAGACATTCAGTCGAATCATAGAACAAAATATTGATCAAGCAAAATATTTTGTTTCATTACTTCAACAACATTCAGATGAACTTGAATTGCTCAGTGCGGGTCCACTCAATATTGTCTGTTTTCGTTACATTATACCACATTCGAATAGTGTCGATTTGGAGACAACGAACAAATTTAATAAACAATTACTAGTTACTATTCAAGAACGTGGCATAGCTGTTGTTTCAACATTTATTATCGATGGCAATATATTTGCATTGAGAATGTGTATAACAAATCATAGAACAAAACGATCGGATCTTGACCTATTTCTTGAACAACTTCTTCTTATTGCTCATGAACTTGTAATGAAACCTGAATTTTTTAACAATAAATAATCCATACATATACACAAACAACAGCGCAATGTAACAAAGCTAGAAAAGCTTCGTTTTTTTCGAAAGAATTTGAACACTCCTGTTGTTTTCATAATAAGAATAAATGAATGTTATTGAAAAACTTCATTCGAATTCATAAGATAGTGAAAAACATGCGCAGATCAAAGTTGAAACCGGTCGAAAGGAACTTCTACTCGATCCATTTGATCGAGAGATTTTCGAAGCCAAACCACTAATACAGATTTGGATGTGAGTACGGCTCTTGTGTTCACCCACTTCTTCAAACTTCACATCGACTGTGATAATAAAAATAGACTTTCTGTATCCAGTCGTTTCTTTTTCTTTTTATTACAGATAAAGAAGTGATATCTTTGCTGTTTTCGTCGAAACATCATATATGCTCTTGCATTCTCATTCGAAACTATGTCAAAATTATACGGAGCTGTTGTGATTTTTGACCCTGTATTAGAATGCAACTGCGACAGAAAAGATTTATGAGACATTTTCCCACTCTGAGAACAATGATGACTGTGTTTGTGCAGTGAGTGAAAGCTATCGAGTCGACATCTATAGCAGAATTATCTTTTTCTTCGTTCTTTTGTCCTAATATCTCATCCCTGCAGGTAAACTTATAGACCATGAGTAAATTACAACATGTTTGTGTCATTAATCATAAAAAAATAGTCATCATATCAGAAGAAATTGATAGTTAACCCCAGATCTGTTGTTGTTGTGATATCTTATCAGTACTACTCGATTCATATATAAGAGAGGTGAAGAAGCTATATTCGACAAACTTGATGGATTCCCATGATGTACACATCAGCGTCTGTAAGGGCAGTACTACAAGTCGACGTAGTGCGAGAGCACGTCGCTCGATTTTTGAGAGTCACAATGAACTCCCAGCACTTACAAAGCAAGATTATCATCAAATTCACTTTACACAACCCTATATCCATGCTACTTTCTCCAATGCTCGAGAGATGAACGTTCTTGAAACATATTTTGCCATTAAATATACGCTTATGAGTGTGTCAGAACTACCTGCTATTCGTGTATTCAGAGCCGATGAAAAACTGTGGAGTGTCGATAATCGACGCTTGTGGGCAATGAAATATGCCAATCAATTTCATTGTGAAGGTCCTTACACGAAAGAGCACGATTCTCGGCGTTTTAACGAGCTTGTCATCAAGCGTCGTAGCTTACGTGGTGGCACTGGCATCCATGTGCAATTTCATCATGATGCATCAGTCATGTGCTGTATCACCGCTTTTAATCAAGGACTATTGGATCGACATATGGCTGAAATTCATTTGAGAACATCACTGGAAAATATTAGATTTCTAGCAGATTATATTATTCCTAATTATTTTGCCTTTAATCGTGGTTCACTACATGATCGACTGCGTGACAAATGTCGGACTGTGAAATACTCAATGAATCAACTTTACTTTCCTCCGAACGAGGAGCAACACAAAATGTTTGAGCTGTTCAAATAGACAACAGCGGTGATGATCATATCATTCGTATAGTTTTGAACTGACATATTGATCCTAACATAATTCTAGTATTTGCGCAACGAATAGAACAAAGCTTGAAAATCCACTTGAACCCTTGTATTGCGACTAATGGAATCAATTAAAGAAAAATAAATTTAGCGTAATCCCTGCTGAATTAAAATGTAAAACACAATGAATCCAGTTTCACCATGTTGGAAACACCTTACTACATCTATCACAGTTCGCGAAGACGGGCCAATGGTCTGCACGCTGAAAATTCTTGTTAGTATCATAGATCTTGAAAGATATCTTGGCTATTTGCTAGGCACACTTTTGGCGTGGGAATGGGTTTGAGGAAACCTATGAATTTGAGTCTAAGTGTAGGCGTCGGTGAAGGTGCTGTTGTGAATATTAATAAAGAAATAGACCACATCCACACACCCACACCCGTCTCACCTGTCATTACATAAGTCAAGTGTTCTCTTGCGTATTCGATGACTCATGTTGGAAAAATTTCTTCTGTTCGATTACAAAAAATAAAAGGAGTCATTATGAAACATTGGGAAAAAGGTAAGATTAAAAAGGGTTATTTCAACTTATAAATAGAGTGTCTTCGTTGAAAATTCAATATCACAATACTAGATCAATTTGCAAATTATTACAAATCAAAAGATCAATACAAGAAACTTAATATGCGCTTGGCTAAATTACCACCAGACGGTACAGTATATCTTCAAGATCAAAAACTAGCCGATCACGGTATTTCAGTCGTCGTGCAGGAAGTCATTATCAATCTGAAATGTCCACGTCTCGTCCTTGATGACAACAAGATTACAGATAAAGGAGCTGAACACTTTGGACGAGTGCTTCAAACAAACAGATCATTAGTAGTATTATTTATGAATGATAACCAGATCTCGGATAGAGGTGCTAATTATATTACTCAGGCACTATATACCAATAGAACATTGACTGAACTTCATCTACGCGGAAATCAAATTACTCACGAAGGAGCGCTTTTTATTGCTCAAGTCTTATACATTAATTCAACATTGGAAGAACTTTATCTAAATGACAATGAGATTGGAGATCGTGGTGCTCAATACCTCGCTATAGCATTAACTCAAAATACAACATTAAAAGTTCTCGATCTTCGCTCCAATAGAATAACAAACGAGGGAATCACTCATTTAGCGTACATGCTCAGACGAAATACAACGCTGAAAGAATTGTACATAGACGAAAACCCACTAACGGATAATGGAATAGATGCTCTCATGAATGCCTTGTGTAACAATCATGGATTATGTATCTTGGGACTTAATTGTTCGGAAATGACAAGTACATCCTTGAAAATCATCGAGAATATGTTCAAATTGAATGAGACATTGATTATGTTACATCTAACTAAACGATCGTTTTCACGCCATGAACGACATCAACTTAAAGGGCTGATCAAAACGAAGCAAAACTCTCGAATCGAATTTCAATAATTGATGAAATGTTCCAAATACATCTGGCGAAGAACTTCTTTCCCGAGAGCATTTCTTTATCGAAGGACTTGTTCAGCCACGTACTGAAAACAATATTTAAAATATCGCTTTATGTATAGTGTACATTCAAGATTTTTCTCATAACACGTTATTGAGAATAAAGTCTCATAGATTTAGACTTTTATGCTGTATTGATTGACAGTAGCCGCAGATTAGTAGTTGGCCAAGACTTAGTTCCGAATGGATCGAGTATATTATTCGTAGATATATTCTGTCATCTCTCTCGTTCATCGTGTCTATTGTTCGTTGTGATGACACTTGTATCCTGCAGCAACGACTTTTCCCGTCTTGTTCTTCGTAAGAATCGTGAACAGGAATTCTTATGAAAATTTCGAAAACGAAAATGAAAACGATATTAAAAATTAGCGTTCTTGAAAATCGTTTTATTTCGTTTTGATATGCATTAGGATACTATTATATAATACTAATATTCTTTTATTAACAACTGTTATTATATATAATAATCCATGCAAAGTGGTTTATTGATATTTTCATTCGTTGCCTTCGCGATTTCTCTCGCCTCAAACTTTGAGTTAAACTTATCCGTAAATAGAGCTTTTCAAACTTTATCATTCTATCTATTGGAAAATTCGTTTTTTATTACTTTGTCGATAAGAGAGTTCTCTTTTATGGTTTTTCTTCCGCTATAATACCAGCTTGGAAAAAGTCGTAAAATTCAATTAAATGTTGAGTCTATAAGAGTTATGAAATCTTTTTCTAAATAGAAATTTTTCAAAATTTATGTCTGTGATACAGTCCTTTTACTTCTATCTAACGATGTATTCTGGTCATGACATGAAGATATTGAAGAGGTAACAGTTGTCAAATAAATAACTTTTTATCTCTTGTATATACTCCAGACTTTGCTCTTTCAACATTCTTCGAAAGTCTTTGCATTGCTTATTACGTAAAAGCAAATTAACAAATGCCGATCAACAGAAATTAGTCCAGCTCACTGGTTATTCATTAAATGTTAATTCAGTTATCCCAATTAAGATTTGTTTTCTGATTGTCATCTTTGAAAAGACTATTAATCAGATTATCTTTGAGTATAGTATTATTGTTATCTTCTCCTCTTAAATGCTTTCGTTTCTTCCACGGTGTTGTTAATGTGCTAATATTTTTTCTCTTTTCAATTGTTCAATTGATAAAAAAATTATGATGATTTTATTTTTAAATTTAAGGTGATTTCACTTTGTGTTGTGAGAAATGAGTTGTGGACATATGCGAACAGAAGACCGTCACCTACACTCAGCTAAATAAAAAATTTCACTTTTCCAAGTATTTTATTTAAATTTCAATGAAAATTATTTTTTAGACAAGCCATTATCTATAGTTTGATGAACATACAAATTTTGTTAACTAAAAGTATGTGACTGTATCAGTAGAAAATTTAAGTACATAGTAGTTATAGTAAGAGAACTTTATTTATTTTTCATGGTCATCCCCGTTTTCTTTTTTCACCTAAAGGTACATTCTCCTTAGGAGAGAGAAAGAAAAAAATGTATCTAAACTTAGTAGGAGATGACATATGTATATATTTACGTATGGCATCGGAACGAAAGAAAATAAAGATGAAATTTACGTAGGTTATCGTGTCACACCACCATTAAGTGGAGGAAAGAGAGAAAAACCATACAAGCTAACCATCAACTAACAACCGTTATCTTATTTTGAAGATGAGAGTCAGGATACATTATATTGATATATTTGGAAGGCACACTCATCATTGCGACTGATCGTTTTTTTTTGTTATGAATTAGAGGAATAAAGATCTATACTTCGGTAATCGAATGTGAAACAAGAACAAAACAATGCTGTTATTTGACTTTTTATTTACGATTGAAACAAAATGTTCTCATTTTTCAACATCAGTAAATCGTTTATTCTTTAAGTAGCAAGTATTTTCTGTACGTGCATTTTCTTCTATTTAAATTCATAATAAAAAACAAAATGGCACAACTATAGATTTGAAAAGAAAACATCGTCTATGTAGTCTTTATTTCTAAAGATAATCTAATGGACATTTTTTACACATGTATCAGTATAATTACAAAGGATCTATACAAATACGAATTGAAAAAATCAAATGAAATAAGAATCACAAAACGAAAACTTGAAATTTGATTATTTGTCGTATATTATATAATGCCGTTTGAATTTCAGACACTTTCTGTGTTAATATTGTGTCTTGTAAATTAATTTTTGAAATTTGTAATTTTATATTCTTCAATTTGAAGCATTCATTGGCCAGAATTTTCCACTGATCTATATCCAAGAATACATAAATATCGTATTTATTGATGATGAAATAATCATATTGAATGTTCATTATTTGCTTAACAAGAGTAATTATTGCTTTCAAACAATATGAATTCGAAAATTGCAAACAATTGTTCATTGAAATCAATAGATATTAACCAATATCAAATAGAAAATATTTCATGGTAAAATTTGTTCTGCAGCTTTTCTTTAATGGATATATAGGACAATAAGTACAAACTATGCCTGCACAACCAATTTCAAATCGTCTAATTCGGCGCCAAAGTTGATTAAATACGCTACTAAATGTATAAAAACTGAGGGCATCATCATATCAGAGTGAAAGTTAAGTTAAATTTGGAAAATATTTTTTATATTGATCGATTTGTTTATCGTATGGTAAATTGAGAAGAGTCAGTGAAATGTCGTTTTTGAAGATAGATAAAAAAGTTAATTCAGTCTCTGGCCACGAATGATTCCCATTGAATTGTAAAGAAACAATTTGTTCAGGTTTGATTTTTCGAAGAATCATTTTAATAAATTGAATACAAGGATTAGATAATTGAAATCTTGCTGGAGGATCATTTAATAAGGAAGAATCTTAGTAGAGAATGCAGAGATTGTATCATTTAATAAAAGATATTTTGCTGTTTCAAGAATGATTTCCCAACAAAGATCACTCGTTTCAACAAAATCAAATGACTTAAAAGAATATTTTTCTTTTTTTTAATGGAAGACAACTAACAAAAACTGACTAGATCTATGGAGTGGGTGTTATTCTTCTGATTGACTCACAACCACACCCATACCCTCCATCAAATTTTTGTATTGAATTTAATTGCACTTGATTTGAAGGATGCTCTTTCTGTCCACTTTGAACCAATTACTGATCATTTAAATCATGACCAAGCGCATGTTTTAACAGTTCCGTTTATTTTCTATCATTTTTATTTAAATCAATTGTTGTTTGTATAGAATTAATATTAACTGGTTCAGAATTTGCCATCATTAATAATGGTTGTTTTTCTTGTTTAAGCCGTAAAAGTAAAGAATGAATAGTTGTTTGTATAAAATCCGTTGTAGAGGTTGTTGATTTAATATTCCTTAATAGTGTTACTCGTTAAGATTTTTACTTGCCTGTCACGCGGAATTTATTTTTGATAGCAACACCGGCTAGCGCACCATTGTTAGGTTTCGTATTTTTTTTATTTTAAATAATATAACAAGACCTAAATCTTTCACAAAAAAGAAAAAAAAGAAAGGAAAAAACAAAACAAATAGAATAACAACAAAAACATAAAAGTAAAAGATCGACCTTAAATCACCATATATAGATAAATTTCCATCTTTAATAGAGAAAAACTACAGCTAACTATATAGAAGAGAAGAGAAAGAGGAAGAAAAAGGAGGAGAAGGATCGTCCATCAATATAAGATATATGGATGGCAGATCCTAATAATAATCATCTCTCACAGATTAATCCATTCACATCACCGTGATATACAATAATTTCTTAGGGTTCAATTCTTCTCGCGGCGGATTTATTTTGAGAACAGCAGTTTTAATCGATACCAATATCCATTAGTCTAAATTTATTTTACAACTATCAATAAAACGAAATGACTAAGTGGCTAGAACGCTCTATTGCCATGTTACTTCTCTAAGGTTCAAATCATTTTTAGGTTGCTTTTTTTTTTCTTGTACAAAATTATCCTCAGTGTCAGTATTTTAATAGAGGGTTTGAGGCAATAAATTTGTGCCATTAATCGTAAAAAAATAAAGAATTTATTTATATAGCCTCATTCATTGAAAACTTATTCATTTACACACAACCAGTTCCAAACTTGGTTATGTTAAATGTTAACATAGCTAATTTTATTCTGAAAATTCAGGTACAGATTAACTGCTAATTTTATCATAGTCTCGTGTAGCATTGCGTCCGTGTTTTAATAGAAAGCCTAACATTTCATTCATTAATAATACTGGCACAAAACTACTAATATGATGAGACCTCAACATTAAATTTGTTTTGTAACTTTCGTACTTTCTACCATAATTCACTTTATTCCAAGACCACTTACACTTCACTTTTGATGCAGATCAACATCTGATTCAATGATCGCTGTTTTATTCACTGTATAGACTGTACTATCTATTGCGGTACATGCTTTATAATACAATTTTAAGTATTAGTTTATCAATAGGTACCTAACTTGAGTTTGACTATAAATAAAAATTTCGGAAACACATAAAGAACTTTGCCAGCAAAAAAAACAGTTTAGTTATGATTTATAATTGAGATATGATTCTCATAAAACTACGGCAGAAATACAGAAAAAAAATTCAGGAGCATTATGTTTGTATTGATACTAAAAAAGTGCTAATGCAAAATCATTACGATCAGCCATGAAGAAAAATGCTTAAGAAACAATTGGTATTATAGTTCACTCATGCCAACGTTTTTGCATTAACCAAACATTATTTTTCAAGATCTCCCCAACCCACCCCCCTCAAAAATCGATCTCAGCCCAGGAACGTTCAAATTGTATGAAATTTTCAGGACATGTTGGGATTATAGTGGAGAAGCTATGGTACAATTTTCAGCCTGATATCATGGCGTTTAAGAGAGATACTGGCCAACCAAACGTCAAAAGTAGCTCATTTGACAAACCAAATTTCTCTGTCCAGGTTCATTCTACATAATTAATTTTTTTTGTTTAAAAGAGCATGTCAGGATGCAGTGCAGTACAGAGCCCTTTTTGCAAATTCTTACTTTTTAGGGAAGAAAGGGGCGGGGGGGGGGGGGGAGATCACAAGTGCAATGACTCAAAACATCCTGAAAAATGGGCGTCGAGTTATACAAAGGTCTACACATATAATAAAAAGCTTAATTGAAAAAAGGGCTCTGTACTGCACTGCATTCTGCCATGCTCTTTCCAACAAAAAAAGTTATATAAAACGAATGAGTCTGGAAGGAGAAATTTGGATTGCGCGATCAAAAAGGCATAAACTGAGAAAAAACGAAAAACATTTTATGAAAAAATATTTTAGCATTTTTAGGCACTTTTTTAATATATTTGAAGAAAATAATCGCCAACAGTCGTATATCTTTTAGAGTTTTGTATAAATAAACTTCTTTGGCGGCTTGTGGAACATCATGAAATGAGTAGTTTTATTTCTCACAACGTAAGCATAACAGCTTTGCTCAAAAGTATTATACTAAAATCAACTGCAAGTTGCTACAGCTCTCTTTTGATTAAGAATTATATTCAATCTAAGCACTTTGCTCCATTTTTAAAACGAAAGCAGCAATTATGATTCACAAACAGTCACCAGAGAGAACAAGAGGCTAAACAAATATAATCCGACAGATGGTGGATCAGAACGATGTGTATGGATCACACTAGGTCACTTCGTTTTCGATGCTTTTTCTTTGTGTTGCTCTTCTTTTCTTTTCTTTGTTCTTCTCAGCTCTATTTCTTTCGTTTCCTATTATGTATAGACGCGTACCGATTGGTTTCTCTTTTTCGTATGTATGTGCTTGTTTTCGTTAGTATGTTTTCGATAAACAAAAGGTACATATAGACTTAAGTTTAATACATTATTCTTTTTAGATTAATATACTTATTTAATATTGCAATTATATATTAATACGTTCTGATACAAAAATTATGGCTAACAAGAGAAAAACAAAACGGTGAGTGCTATCCCTTAAACTATTGAATGTATTTTTCTAGCTTATCTAAGAACAAAAAACAATCTAGAATTTATTTTTCTTATAATAAAAATACTTTTTAATAGATGTAGTGCACGGGCTGTAACAAGACGTATTCGAAAAAATTTATAACCAATACAAGCATCACTATTACGATCGAATATCAAATCAACAATACAAACAACAACATAAAATCTATCCACATCTTCAAAACATTCGTCTTTACCATCACAACAGAAGATTATGAACAGAACAAAATTGGATATAACATCAACATCATCAAATTCAAATATGCCTATGGATGGCTACACAATCTTGCAAAACCAAGCATTGTTTTTTCTTATGTGTAAGACGAATTGTTAACGCTGTGGAAATCGTTGGAGTGGAACAGTGAACAACAACAAGCGTGAAGGTTAATTTTTGATCTTATCTTTTCAACGTTCATCGTGTGAAAATACAAGCATCATTGGTAAGTAACTTCTCCAACTGCCGAAATCGTCTGCATATTATCAATACGTGCAAAACTTCTTTCTAATTTTTTTTAAAAACAAGTTCGAAGGTTGTTGCATTAGAGCGTCGAGATATTAACGTTCGATCACAAATAGGTGGGTATTCATGTGGTATTAGATATGCTGGATTAGTGAAATTAATCGATGCTATGAATTTGCCAAGTCCTATTCAAGATGAAAGATATTTCAAATGGGATAAAAATTTATTACTTTCAGCAAAATTATTGTCAAATCGGTCTATGAAAAAAGCTGTTGAGGAAGCTGTGGCTGTTGCAAATGTCACAGAATTAATGGTTAGTGGAGATGGATTTTGGCAGATCCGAGGTTTCAACAGTAGACATGGTGCAGCAGCTATTCTTTCTTGTAAAACAACACTAAAAGTACTTGATATTGACACATGCAGTAAAGCATGTTAGTTTGCATGAGTGAGTTTCGTTTTTTTTGTTTTCTTGATTACATTCTCTTTTTTAAGATGCACTTGGTATTAACAAATCTGATCCATCTAAATATAATAGTATTATTAGATCACGTTGGTGTGAAAAAAACTACAACAAAAGTTCCGGTACAATAGAAACTGATGCTGTTCTTAACATGTTCAAACGATCAGTTTCTAAATATGGAATTTACTACACAGGTTACGCTGGTGATAGTGATCCAAAAACATTTACTATTCTTTCTAAAACAACATCATATCCAGGTGTAATATAATTTATTTTATTTCAAAAAAATATTGCGTTTAATATTGAAACACTATCAACAGTTTTGTCTTTTTAGGAAAAGTGATCAAGAAAATCGAAGACTTGAATCATTTTAGCAAAAGAATGAAAGGCCAACTGGAAACAAAAAATTATCTGACGGTAAAACTATTGATCGTAAAAATCATCTTTCCAGTAAGTCTTTTTAAGGCAGGAAAAAAATTGAAAACAAAACAAACCGGAAATGTGATTGTTTTTTATGTTAGGTCAAAATATAATCCGGTTTCAAATGGTATTTGCTTCTACCATCCAAAAATGTAAACACGATCTGGATTTGTTATTTAAATGATCGTGGGCTATATTTTGGCATAAATATTCAACCAATGATGATTCTTGCCATGATTCTTGCAGCATCGATTGGTGCGGTTATTTAAAAGCTGCTCGCGGTGAAACACCATATGGTCATAAACCACATACTTTACCTCTTCCTGTCCTGGATGCAATCAAACTTGTTTTTGACAATCTCTGTTCTCGGAAAAGTTTTGCACGTGTGGTCGACGCGTCAAGTCAGAATCCAAACGAAGGTTTTCATTCGCTTGTCTGGCTTATGTCACCAAAACACAAGACAACATCTTGAACAATATTTCAAATAGCTTGTCATCTTGCAATAGTAATATTTAATGATGGATATTTTGCATTAGGTAAGACGATAAAAGTATTTTCGCAAGTGTTTTTAATTATAATTAAAATATTTGATACTTATAAACTAGTAATTTGTTTTGATTTTGCGCAGGAGATCTTTTCAACAACATGTGTGGTTATCATGGCCATTATGCCGATGAAGCAATGATTCACTTTGACAACAGTCATTTCCACTCAGAATCAAAAACAAATAATAGAAAAAGAAGAAAGGAAGCTGGTCGTATTGTACAGAAAAATATTGATAATGGTCAAATAAGTAATAGTAATAGTACACTCGGTGATGATGATAAAACAACAGATAATGATGAGCAAAGAGGTGATTACTACCATGAAACAAATCCTGCTGATCAATCAACAACTCAAGATAATGAAACAATTACTGATAGTGATGAACGTATTACTGATAATATTGATACAACATCAAGTAGTGATGAATCATCAGATGATAGTGATGATGAAACAAATAATATGGACAACCAGGAAACACTTCTTAATCATGACACAACAACAAATGAAGATCTGAAAAAGAATGATGACACGAATGATGAAAAATATGGTTATTATAATCCAAAAGACAGAAGAAGATGGAAAGAACAAGATTAAGTAATAGTTCATTAAACATTTTTTAAAGCGAACTTTGTCACATGAAAGTTTTTTTAAATAAAGGTCTTTTCTTGTCTATCAGTTAGTCAATTTTTCATTTTTTGCTGTATGAACTTTGATTTTCCTATAACAATTGATAAAACTTGTTAAAACGTCTCTGCATTCCCTTAAAGTGCTTATTTTCCATGTAGAAACTTCAAAATCCATTTTTTTCTAGAAAAAATCGTGTTTTTTTGAGTAGTTAATTACAGAAATCATCAAAATTTTTCGCCAAAGTAGAGGCATTGGGAAAAAAAATTATTTTTTAAAGATCTGCAGATGGGCTATCTTCCCATGCATTTATCTCAGTTTCGAAATCTCTGACGAAAATTGACTTTTTTTGAGCGAGGAGGGGGAGGGGACGGGAGGTCTTAATGTAATATATGTTCTCAATGTAGGGTGTGAATGTGGCTCAAAAAGAGAAACAACCACATCCACACTCTCATTTATCATTATTAATAACGTTACAAGCTTTTATCTCTTATTATCACCTGCGTCGACAATTTTGTTTTCCTTCTCTCATTAGTGTGCATGTATATCGTCGCAGCTGAGAGAACGACAAAAAGATGCATAAACACGGCAAAAAAAATCCTTCTACGAGGGAACAGTATTTTAAATATTTTTGCTTGGGACTACACTATACTCGCACTTATATTCTAGAGCAATACTCAGTTTTCTGGGTTCTTTCAAACGATGTCACTCTTACGAATAAGACTTTTAGTCAATTTTTTCGCGACCAGTTGATATGAATTGTCGCTACGAATAGCGTGACAAGATTAATTTTTATTATTTTCCACTATATGTCATCTGCAACTGCGTTTATTACGCTATGCAGAACACAAAACAAATTTTTTTCCTCTAGGATCCTGGTCTTTTCATACTACTCTGCTGAATCATTTTCGTCATATCTTGATGAATCTATCTCATTTTTGTGTTTATTCGTTTGTTTTTTTGCAATTTAACATCGTATAAATACAAGGTAAGACGCATATCACAACAGTGCAGTTGTACACGTGAGTATATCATAACCTTGGAGACTACTATCAACTTTTTTTGCTGTTTTATGCTCTATGCTGCGCGACAGTTTCTGAGAACAATTTAACCCATATGTCTAATACTGTCAATTGAATGCTATGGCAATTTGACGCATACAAGATTACAACAGATTCAATCTCGAAGCTCGGTCAATATCTACTTGTTTATAATCGATCGATAGCCCATATGCAGTACACTGTAAAAAAAAGGTGCCATACGGAACCAGCTACGGTTTTCATACTTGCTACGAAACGTAAAAAGGTTACGTTTCAGACCTACGAAACTTGTGAAAAAAAGTTTCCTTGACCGTTGACGATCAGTTGGAAGAGGTCTTAGGTTTTTACGAAATTTTTCACGGTTTAGATTTTTGAAACAAAATGTTTTGACATGGCATCTTTTTTTAACCGTGTAGAGTGTGTCTAAATAGACACTCCTCTAAATCGTACAATAGGTTCGAGTAACACTCGTTGAATCACCCTTACAATTTTTGCTGATAATTTATCTATTTACATTGGGCGCTTCGCACATTGTAAAATATGCGCAGAATAATGATTTACTCTACTTATGTTGAAAAATAAAAATGTCGGAGGGTAAGAATATCAAAATGTACAAGTGTCAAGACTTTAAGGTTTCGAACAAAGAAAATATCGGAATTAATATTGTCGAAATATATGTGTCAGGCAAAATTTATTTTTAGGACAAATTGAACATTGTTATATCAACTTTTCAATAAATGGTTTGTTAGTAACAACTTTAGTTTTTTCTCAGGAAACTAATTCATACATGATATTATCCATTCACACAGAGAGAATTTTAGTCGTTGATAACAAAATCTGACTGTTTTGATATAGTTTGATAATACGGATATCTAAAGAATGTTATAAGATTTCTAGCTAATGATTAGTACTGTGTATATGACTTATTTTTCATGAATTCTATGAATAGTTAAAGGATTCTTTTTATAATGGGAACTTAGGGACGTTGGATGATCAGGTAGATTTGAACAATCTGTAAATTATTTTTTTTATTGAGTATCTATTTATTGCCTTTTTTCGTAACGACGACATTGGACATTCAATGAATAGGTAGATTTGAATGATTCATAATTATTTTTGTTATTGAGTATGTATTTATTGCCTTTTTTCGTAATGACGACATTGGATATTGAATGAATAGATAGATTTGAATGATTCATAATTATTTTTGTTATTGAGTATGTATTTATTGCCTTTTTTCGTAATGACGACATTGGATATTGAATGAATAGATAGATTTGAATGATTCGTAATTTTTTTTAAATGTTTTAGGTTCTGTTTCTTGCTTTGTTTTTTCTATTGACTAAATATTTTCGATGTATTCTTTTTACCTCGAGGACATTGAATGATCGCTGAACGTTTATGAAAAAAAATTTATTTTTCTAAGTATTTGTTTAAACGAGCAGAAGGTGAATATAGGTGGGTCTAAGAATCGAAATCGCATTTCACCAAATGTCTATCTTGTAATATAATAGTTTTAACGGCAGCGAAGAATGTAACTACACAATGTATTAAGAAAGACTACCATTTTGACAGAATTTACTTTTGCAAAAAACCTGCAAAAGTAAATTCTGTATAGACTAACTTTATGATGGATAATACTGACATTGTGCAATTACATTAGCCCTGTTTAATAGTGACTATATATATAACGTACCATCGAATGTTTTTTCGTTCTTTGCATAGTGTACATATATGCTGTTTCAAGTTAGCGAATTAATGTTTTACTATACGATGACGTCATTATACATTCATTCTGTTGTTTTCCATCTTTATCGATATAGGTGGAAAACAACCTCCTCCCCCCTGTAGTATCGAACATGCGCCCATATGTTGCTATACTTAATGAAAATGACATAAGTGTGGGTGTGGGTGTGAGTGCGCTTGTGATTCTTCTCATTAGATATCCACACCCACACCCTCTTGTTCATAAAAAAACTTTGGAAATTCATTTTTCGATGTCAATGGAGAAGTGAATATTAGTACAGTTATTATAGTTTGAATTTGTGAAAATGATGACTCTATCTAATTTTAAAAAGTCAGTTCGTGTTGTTTTATTGCTGGAAATGAAATTAGCACTAAAAAGAAAAGAAAATTATTTTGTAGTTTCGCGCTGAATTAGAAATCGATTCTGCTTAAGTTAGATTTTGCCTGCGACATATACGTTTTTATAATATTACATATGTGTAACATTTCTATCCGTGAAATGGAAACATAAAGAGAATAAGAATTTACATAGGAGTGCGTCAATTCTAGCCATCTCCAAGTCCGATTCTAGATATGGAATTGATCGAAATTTCTTGAGATTAAAATTGGAATTTCAGCCGAATTGATCTGGAATTGAACTCGGTTGAAATTGATTTGAAATTGGCATTCGTTATAGGTATAAAATTAACATTTTACAGAAAGCCACTTTACCAGTTAAACGGTTACCGAGTAACATCGAAATTTGGGATTTGGTGTTTTCACTACAGAAGGGGTTTGAGGGGGAGGGGAGCGTTAAGGAGTTTTTATAAAGTTTGACTAGAGGTGTTCAAGGCCAAGAAATCCGATTCTGTGATGAGTTTTACAAAACTGTGTGGGGCGTGGGTGTCGGTGGTGATCTTTTCTTCACTCTCAACCACATTCTACATCCCACACTTATGCCCGCATCGACACTCTAGTCGTGCTAAATCATTGCTTGAAAGTGCTCTCGTGAGAGTTCGAAATGCAATTGAAGCATGTTGCACCACTGATCTGAAAGAATTTTAACAAAACAACGAAGGGTGCGTCTGAAATTGCGTTACAGAATCATGAATATGTTTAAGCATTTATGCAGAATAGTTACATTCAAATTAAGTCTTTTAGGTGAATCGAGCAAAAATCTTTTGGAGTGGTCTATGTATTTCCATCTCCGGTCATAGTCAACTTGATCATGTTTTCTCCTAATTTCACATTCTAGATGTATACATCGAAGATTAAAGTACCCATTATATCCTCGTTGATTCAACTTGTACTGTTGTGCATATTTTTACCTGGAAGCATCATTGGAGCCTGTTCACCAGGAACGTATTATGTGATGAATAATGTCAATTGTTTACCGTGTCCTGCCGGACGTTATTGTCCTCAAACTGGAAGCAGCACCAACGAAGCATGTCCATCAGGAACATATCAGCCAAACGAGGGTGCCGTCTCGGTTACTGCTTGTTTGCAATGTCGTGCTGGCACTTACAATTCAGTGTCTGGGCAAGCAAACTGCAAGAACTGTCCTACTGGAAGTTATTGCCCTGAAACGGGGGCTACCAGCCTCCGATGGTGTCCAGTAGGAACATATCAGCCAAATGAAGGAGCAGTATCTGTTCAAAGTTGCTTGGCATGTCCCACTGGCACGTACAATGGAAACACTGGGAAGGAAGTCTGCTCAAAGTGTCCTCATGGAACGTACTGTGATACAACTGGGGGAACTACGTATAAAGAGTGTCCACCAGGCACGTATCAGCCAAATGAGGGTGCCACGTCGGCTCAAACTTGCTTGAAATGTCCCGCTGGTACTTTGCATCCATTGTCTGCCGGATATGAATGCTACCCGTGTCCTGATGGCTTTACGTGTAACGATCCTGCTCAAACACCAGTACCTTTGCCAACTTCAGCTCCATTGACTTCAGCTCCGTCGACTTCAGCTCCGTCGACTTCAGCTCCATTGACTGCAGCTCCATCGACTTCAGCTTTACCGGCTTCAGCTCCATCGACTTCAGCTCCATTGACTTCAGCTCCATCGACTTCAGCTCCATTGACTTCAGCTCCATTGACTTCAGCTCCATCGACTTCAGCTCCGTCGACTTCAGCTCCATCGGCTTCAGCTCCGTCGACTTCAGCTCCGTCGACTTCAGCTCCATCGACTTCAGCTCCGTCGACTTCAGCTCCGTCGACTTCAGCTCCATCGACTTCAGCTCCGTCGACTTCAGCTTCATCGACTTCAGCTTTACCGACCGGAGCTTTATTGAATACAACAGTTAAATCGACTGGAGCTTTATCGAATACAACAGTTGGATCAGCTGGGATTTCATCTATTGTAGCGAGACAGACATTTGTGTCGATGCTATTATGGAGTATGGTCTTGAGTATTGGATATTGAGCAAGTATTGATGGTATTGATATTGATTAGTGGTAAAGTATTGATATTATGGAAGGATTTGTATTGGTATTGACTTATTGGTTTTGATTTATGTTAAACGACTTCATTCTACATTTATATATTAATATTATTTGTATCTGATAGAGGATTACGTTAACAACGTCTGAATTCGAAAATTGTCCAGCAGGATTCGCCCAGAAAACTGTTCCAAAACTCATGTTCCTGTTTCAGAAACAACTTGCTGAGCTCTATCGAATGGTATAATAAAACTTCCTACCACATGAGTTGTATTTCCAGAAATTAAAGCATACTAATACTTTGCTGTAAGATTTAGTTATGCATATAAATTCATCTGTGAGGTACTTATATAGAAGCTTGTTACAGCGTCTCTTTTGTAGAGCTCACATGTTTTGGAAGAAAATAGTGAGTGTAAGTCTTAAAGCGAAGTTTTGCGCTTCCCTCTTCCAATTAAAGCCCTTAGCAATCCCCCTACCCGCTCCCCCCACCCTCCCAAAAAAAACATTCTCTTCAAAATACATTAATAAAACGACTATAGCCTCTGAGAGTTTTTACTTTGCGTATTTTGTATTTAGTGTAATGTGGCTAAAGAAGTTATGTGAGCTCTACATGTTGACCACAAAAGGGCTGCGCTAAGAACCTTTTGTTCTTGCTACAAACATTATTCTCTATTACATACATAGTAGTTTAACCTGTTGCTTTGTGGTACTTATTAGCATCGTCCCTTTTGATCTGTCATTGATTGGATACTTTTGAATAAGGTGTGGATAAGATATAAAGTGAACATAAATTAAACAAGAAAAAATTACGAATAAATTTTTTTATAATTCTTCATTTAGATTATGATTAAAAAGAAGCGGAATAGCAATACAATAAGAATAAGGAGACGAACAACTCTTCTATTAATATGAAAAAAAGAGCGTTCATTTTCCTTTTTTCCATAGTGTTATTTTATTTTAGTTTTTTCTGATCATTTTTATTCTAGTTTTAGAATTCTTTTGAGTCTTTTAATATTTTTTGAAATGTGAACGAAACAACCTGGTTTTGCATATGGTAAGAAGATAAATGAAAGAGTAGCATCCTTTTTAAAACTATTTTTGAATAAGGAAAATGAACTTGATTTTTGGTAGTTTTTTTAGAAATGAGTGCGGATGGCACATTTAGTTTACTTCTTGTCCAGATAAATACAATAAAGTAAATACTTTATTCACGTAAGTACTTATGAAAAGCAGATACTTTTTACTTATTTATTGGTAAAGTTGATGTAAAGTGTCATCCTAAATGCATCTTGAGGAAGAGTAGATTGTATTGAAGATAAAGTGCTTTATTGAAGAATTACAATAGAAGAAGATGATGTAGAAGACATGATTTTAACCTACTTTTATTGATGTTCCTTGTAAACATTTTGTTTCACTTTCATGAGAAATAATAGGGCTTTAACAGCATTGGAACCAGCTAGGATATCCAAAGATTCGTTGATATCGATCATGTCCATCCAATTTAGCTGGAAATCCAAATAAATTTCGGCAAGATGATGATGGTGATGATAATTCGTTTTTCCTGACTGAATATTATTTATTTTCCGTGCGAAGTAAAATTTCGAGTTTCATCGAACTCACTCAGTCTTCACGTAGACAAAATGGGTGTACTAAATCTATACTATATTTTACAAGTGTTTTTCAGTTCTTCTTCAGGAACTTTCATATGATTAGTCACAAAACGAAAAAAAGTATACATATATATGTATATACGTCGTATCTGTCCATTCATTATGCATATATGTCAATCATATTTTTTTTTATTTTGCTTTCTTTTTCTATGCGCGCAGCAGCAACACATTATAGAACTTTAACTTATTCATTTATTTTGTTACTAATTGACGACCATCAGTTTGGTCCTTGCAGTGTATAGATTAAGAGAAATAGAAAATAGAAATAATGTACAAGAAAAGAAGAAAGAAGAACAAATTACACTTAATTTAATTAGCAGCAAGCATTACATATATTACAGTTTGTGTAATAAAATTGGTTCACTCTAAATCATCACTTTTGAAATTTTTTTAAATGACAGACAAACAACAAAAACGAAAAGAATATATAAAAACATACCGCGAAAGAAATTATAGAAAGGTTGTTGTGTTAGGCGGTGACTTTCGCCAAGTTCTGCCCGTTATTAGAATAGGATCTCGATGTATCATTATTGCTTCATCAATAAAAAAATCTTCTGTTGGGTCTCTTTTTCAAACATTCAAATTAAAACGTAATATGCGAGCTACCACATACCCTAATTTTTGTAAATGGCTTTTAGATATCGGTGATGGGATGATACTTTTACCACCAATACCTTAAACCCAATTTTCAGTTGAAGTTTGAATTTCTTTAATATCTAATGATATAGTTACCGATATTTTTGGTAATAGTTTTATCTGTATTGATATTGAAAACTTTTCCAGACGTTCAATTCTCTGCCCAAGAAATGAAGATGTTTGATTAATTAATGAACCCGTTTTGATAAATTTAAAAAATGTTGAACAAAAGAGTTTTCACATGATTGACTCTGTAAAAAATGATGATGATGTAGACGATCATGATTTACAAGTCAATATTTCGGTAGAATTTCTAAATACTTTGAATCCATCTGGATTACCACCGTATAAATTAAATTTAAAAACAGGTTGTATAGTAATGCTATTGAGAAATTTATCGGTAAACAAAGAATTATGCAATGGAACTAGAATGATTGTTAGAGCCTTTCGCCAAAATGTGCTTCAATTGGAAACTATCACTAGTGCATTTTCTAGAACTGTTCATTTTATTCCTAGAATTTCCCTGGATACATCCAATGATCCAACACGTCCATTCAATTTCGTTAGACACCAGCTTTCAGTTCGTCTTGCATATGCAATGACAATAAATAAGCCTCAAGGTCAAACTATTGATAAAGTTGACCTCTATCTATCAGAATCTTGCTTTTCTCACGGTCAGTTTTATACAGGATGTTCAAGAGCAACGGAATCTAATTGTTTAAAAATTCAAGTAAAAGACACCACTAGATAGGGCAAAACGGATAATGGGCAAACTGTAATAGATAATGTTGTGCATCGAGAAATTTTTTCGTGATTTCCATATTTTTATTTTTGTGGGTTTATTACTTTAGTAATTTTGCTTTACATTTAGTAAATCAAATACTAATCCAAACTTTTTATTAAATCAATTTTTCCTATAATCTTAAAGTTTGACTCTTCACAGGGGCCTCTAATCTACATATAGTATCATTGTAAATCTAGGAAAAAATTTTAGAAAAAGCTTGTTATCGCAGTCCCTTTGTGGCTGAAATGCGGAGCTCATATAGTTTCTTTAGCCCGATTGTACAAATATATAATGTATAAAATGAGAAAACCACCACATATTATACTTGTTTTCCAAAATAATCTATTGGCATAAGAAGAATCTATCTTATCATTTCTATCATTTCAAAGCAGCTTTCTTTTTCTACTGGCGCTATTCACTCTTTGTTTTTATTTTTTGTTTATTTTGTTTTCGTTTCTTCTTATTTTAACTGTATTATCATTTTCATCATTGTTTGAGCTGGCAAAAAAAGCCTACTATCTACAGAAAAAAATTTTACACGAAAAATACCACGAACCACGATTTTCTGAATCTCACCGTGGTTCCTTGGAGACACACCACGGTGTCATTTGGATAACTTGGATTCACCGAGTTTTTTCACATTCCCTTGAAAGAAAACTGTGGTATTGGATATTGTGGTAATCACTGGTTTCTGAAGGGTGTGGGTGCGAGTGTCGGTATGTATGCTGTTATGGAGGCTGCTTATTTATCTAATCTAAAGTCACATCCATACCCAACTTTATTCGAGCAAGAAAATATTTCTTCTTGTAACTCGTATTCAATAACTTATATCGAGATAAGCATTGAACATTGTTCGCATTCATAAAGTTTGATAATAAATTCAAAAATGAGTTCGTTTGAAAATGTATCAAATTATTCAATGATCGTTTGATCAATAAAACAAATGCACAGAAAAATCGAAATCGTATAATGAAAATGTTCTTCGTGTTGACATATAACATTTTGTTTTGCACTTGAGAGATTCGTTCATGAAACCAATTCTCATTGAGAATCTTCTGATCTTTCCAAAATTAAAAAAACAACAAATTGACAAAAGACAAAATGACTGCCTTGAAAATTAATTAAATTCATTGAATTTTCTATCTTTCAATAGAAAATTTTGTTGAACATTTAAGTCAAAAAGTTAAATAGAAACAAAATGTGTTTTTTTTCTCAAATCTTCTCTTTCAACATCGATCTAGAAGGACGAAATTTCACTTTTCACAAAAAACATTCGAAAAACAATCGAATTAATTCAATTTCAAACAGATTAATAGAATTAAGCCCGAATTTTTGTTTGTTTGTATGAGGTTGAAGTCATTTAAATAGATTCACTAATGTTTTAATCCAATCTCAATTGAACGAAAGAAAAAATTTCTCTGAAAAACATTGTGATCGTCATATTAGTCCTTCATTCTCCAAAGACTTTTGTTTTGATATTCAAAAAATCCAACTGAATATTTAGTTCAATGATTTAAAAACTCATTCTGCCCATCAACTTCACAAATCGAATCATCATGGATTAGTCGAGTGCATTCGAGAAAATCTTTTTGTTTCTTTTCTATTCTAATTAAAGATCGAAAAAGTCAAATAATCGCATAACTACGGAGATTGAAAATTTTTTATTTATGATTGACAGAGAACTAAGTTACTTTTTGTGATTTCAATCGATCAATAATTGGTGTTAGAATTCGTGATGTTAAATAGACCAAAATCATCAACAAAACTATTTTCGACTCAAATTCTTCTTGAAAACGAAAGTAATTATTTTCGTTAAATTCTAAAAGAAAACGTTATGTTACGAAGGAACAACTTTTCTCTCGATTTCTTTTAATGCACGCCAGAATTTTTTGTTAAAAAGGTTTAAGAGTTTGCATTGTTTCAATCAATTGATATTATATCAATAGACAAATCTGTTGATCGAACATCGACAACGAATTTTCAGAACATCGCGAATGTCATGAACAGGGTGCGAGTGTGGAGTGCGGCTGTCGAATTACAGAAGACTTACACTAACACCCCACACCCACCCATTCACACTGGCACGATCTAGAATACATTGCCTCGTTCAC